AGAACATGTTTTTCCTGACCAGCACCTACTCTACATCCTTCTTGATACCATAAACCCACAGTTCCTTTGGGAAGCGATTCTTGCTCATAATTCTCAGATTTATGTGAAATTCATCCAACCATGATGCAGGTATGTGCCTCGATTAGCTTAAGCAAATCAATGAAACCCATCCCCTTAGCCATAGTGATTGGTTAGGAATTGGATTTCTGACCTGTCAGTCAAATCTGAAAGAACCTAGTGATTTTTTTTCCCAAGGGAGACACAGCGTCTCTCTTCCCTGAAGAAAATGAACAAGAATTCATGTGACACTGGAAGGTACCGGCAGCTATCCTGGGACTCGTACATGGAAGGGAGGTCAGAAAGAGAAAACGGGACCTGCAGGGCATCACAGGGCTGCTGCATCCAGCCTTTCCTGGAGCCAGAGCCTCCCTGTATCCTTTGATCTTGGAACCACAGGGTTCATTTATTCCAGTCTCTTTGAGGTAGGGTTGCTTGTTTGTTTTCCTTCTTGCAACTACTAATATCCTGAGAAATACAGAGTTCTGTATCTGTGCAGAGATACAGAGTCTGTTAAAAGTAACAGCTCGTGACTGAAGCATGGGATTAGCTGAACTGAAAAAGCAGGGAGTTTGGTGAGGACTTTGTTAAGTGGAAGTGGTTTGGTGTGTCTGGGAATTACCTGGAGGCTTGTTAGACACAGATTGCTGGGCACCACCGCCTAAAGGGGGAAGCCCGGGGCGAGGGTGGGGGGGTGTTTGCTTAGAATTTGCATTTCTAATGGTTCCCAGATGCTCCTGCTGTGGTCCGGGCAGGACCTTTTGAGAACCGCTCTCACATGGTACTGCTGGTGCTGGTTGACCTGTGGTCTATTGCATCTCAGTAAAAATCTTTTTTTTTTTTTTTTCCTTTAAGTAAAATTCTTTAAGAAAGAGCTCAGGCTGCTTTGAAATGGGCTTATCTGACATCGAAAAAGGGAAACAATTCAGCTTTGCTAAGAAAGGCCTTTCCAGTCTGTCAACTGTTGTCAGTAATCTGGAGTCTGGAAGGCTGTAAATGCAGGTATTTCGACTTCAGTCTGAAGTTAATGTGAATAGAGGCAGGGAGGTGAGAGACTTAACAGGAGAGAATCCTGAGCTCTGACTATGGGTCCTAAGTCCCTCTCTCCACCCTCTCCTGTGAAATATTTGTCTTCCTTATTTGAAGTGGACAGTCAGCTGCTTGTAAAGGCGCAGGGAAGGCGTGGCTTTGGGCATCAAATATTCATCACTTTTGCATGTTGCTCCATCTCTGCAGGGGCCGGAATGGAGGCAAGCGCTCTCCCGCCACGTGGCTAGAGGTAGGGGTGTAGGGGTGACTGTAGTATTGAGGCCCATGCTAGGAAACACATTCCCAACACCAGGTAAAATGCAAGGTATATGACCAGGCAAGCTCTCCCTTTTGGGTTATTGAGCTCATGGAATAGATCAGAAGCCTGCTGTCATTAGATGGGCATTATTTGCGGGACTTCCCTGGCGGTCCAGTGGTTAGGACTCCGCTCTCCCAATGCAAGGGGCACGGGTTCGGTCCCTGGTGGGGGAACTAAGCTCCCGCACGCAGCGCAATGCAGCCGAAGTTAGCTGCCCAACACCTAAGGCAAACTCCAGGCTCCTAACTCACATGGATAAGAAGTTGGCAGCTCCCGAAAAGGGCTCCTCGCTGGCACACATGTGTGTCCACAGAGGACAGTCCCCAGGGAGGTCAACCCCCAGGGAGGTCAACCCGAGAGGCTGACTAAGCACTTCAGTCAAGTCTCGGACTCTGAAATGCCCTCTACATTGGTTAATAGTGCAATTCCCACGCTCCCCGCTCCCTCACAGGGGTCTTTATTCTATTTACACTTTTTGTTCGCAACACTTGTGTTGAGTGATCGGGCACGGGTTAGCTTTCATTAGCCTTTGGGCTGCTGGACCTTGAGAAGCAGTGCAGCATAAACGAGCAGATTTTGTTTGTCCCTAGATGCTGGAAGCCAATAGAGAAGAAGTGATGACAGCCTCACTGCTTCTTTGGGGACAAAGTTTGTTCCTCTCATTCTCCTGATAGAATCTTCGCACTTGTCATGGTGTGGGTGGTAATGGTGTTAGGGGAATGGGGCCCCCGTAAAGGAAGGGGATTATAAAATGTTTTCTAGGAGGAGCTCTGTGTGTGTGTGTGCGTGTGTGCGCGTGTGCGGGTGATATGAAAGCCTTGGGCGAAAGGACTTGCTCCTTGTATTGTCCTCGTTATGTAAAAGCCATTATGGCACCAAGACTGTGAGCTAAGCTGAGCTCTCTTTGTGTCAACTCAGAATCTCAACCAGAAAGTAGTTTTGATGGATGGAATATCACCTGTCGAAGGGTGGGTAAGATGAGACTGGAGAGGTGAGCAATACATGCTCATTGAAAACTAAATCAAATAAAAAGTACAGAAAATAAAAAGGAGTCCCCATTCCTTTAAAGAAAAAAGAATAAAAATCCCATTTCCTCTAAGAAACCATAGTTAGCTATTTGATATGTATCTTTCCAAATATGTGCCTTTGTAAATATATATGTATATCTGGTTTTTTAAAATAAAAGCAAAAATAATGTCATTCGATACATATAGTTCTGTAGCATATAGGTAGAGTATATATGCATATACTAGATGTAAACAGATATACCTTTTGCACCTAATATTATGGACACTTTCCATAGGTATAGATGTGTGTTATCCTTTTTACTAACCACAGAATAGTCCATTGGTGGGCATCTCAATTCTCTTCTGATGTAATCTTCTACTGGTTTAAATGGTTGTTCCCATTTGCTTGCTGGTTACAAACCGTGCTGCAAAGAATATCTTTGTGTCTATATATAGTCCTGTCCTCTGGCAGTGTTGCTACAAAACAGATTCCTAGAAATGGAATCAGGGCAAACGGTATCTTGGTCCAATAGTGTGTGCATTTTAATGTTTGTTCAGCAGTAGTGTTGAATTGTACTCTAAAAGTTTCATCACTACAATTCTAAACTAATTTGGGGTACAAAAATTAGATTATTTTAAACAACATGAAACAATTGTGGGTCATAAAAATTAATACATGTTTGGTTTTCACACAAGTCTTTAGCATTTCTCCTCCTTCTGCCGAAAGGACCTGAGCTCAGTGTACATTTCTTATAGTTATAACTCAGGCAACCTATCTATTAAATAACTGAGTTGTCACAGTAAACCTATAAACAGAATCCTGCTCCACATGTAGGCTGGTTATCTTTTCCTTCTCTAACATTAGCCATGTATTTTGTGGAGCATGGATTCTAGGAAAATAATGTACAATATACCTGTTACCATATGCAGATGTGCACTGCATTTGGAAAAGAGCAGTGAATTCTATTGACTATTTCAGTGGTTCTCAGCTGTTAAAATGCATGTGGAACACCTGAAGCTTGGTAGAAATATCAATTCCCAGGTCCACACCTAAAAATTCTGACGTGAGTGGCTTAAACAATCATTGCTTGTAATTTGAGTACAGGTGGATTACATTTTGGGAAATAACTTGGTTACTGGTTAAGAGCAAAGTCTGTAGTTACATCAAAATCTAGTTTTGGAACTCAGTTGTGCCGCTTACTTGCTGTGTGATCTTGGCCAATTTGCTTAACCTCTCTGAGCCCCAGCCCCAGTTTACTCTTCTGTCAAATGAAAATATTAATAGTACTTAAACTATACTATTTCATTGTGAGGAGCAAATGAACACGGCAGAAAAAGCACTCAGCCTGGAGTAAGTCTCAAATATGTTAGTAACCGTTATTCAGAAAGTTTGATTTATCGTAAATATGTATTATGAATACTCTTCTTAATGGTATCCATTCATGTACATTATGATTTGATTCATAAAATAGTCGTAATTTAAATGTCCTGGAAATGTGGCTCCAGAGTGTTGACTGAAAAAAAAATGCATAACCTAAAAGTTAAGAGTTAAGTTTTATTGACAGACAAAACTGAGCACTTAAGCCCGGGACACAGCACCTCAGATAACTCTGAGGGACTGCTCTGAAGAGGCAAGAGGGGAGCCGGGATATATAGGAGTTTTTGCAACAAAGACCAGGTAGTCGGAACATCAAAAGATTACTGTTAATTAAAGAAAACCAGCTGTCTCAGGTTAAGGAATTCAGTGCTTTTGTATGTATGGGAAGATGCAGGAGACTGGGCTCACTGAAATCATTCTTCTGATATGAACCTCAGCTACCTGGGGCCAGCATCCTGTGTTTTCTCATCCCGAGTTTCCTCAGGAGGCACCATTGGGGGTGGCAGCAGCAGCTGACTGCTAGATGGTGGGCAACCTGTTTCTATCCTGAATTCCCTCAGGGCGCACCTCCGGAGGGGGGCGGCTGTAAGGTGATGGCTTGATGGCGGCAACATTCTTTGTTTACCGATACAGCAGGCAATATTTTTCATTCACAAGTGTAAAGCAGAGTAGCTCTGTGGTAGCCCCCTTCCATCTCTCCCAATTTTCCTCCATTTCCTATCTTCCTATTCTTTAACCTACTATTCCTTTCAACCTGTGATTCTTTTTTTTAATTAAGTTTTTTATTGGAGTATAGTTGATTTACAATGTTGTGTTAGTTTCTGCTGTATGGTAAAGTGAATCAGCCATACGTATACACATATCCACTCTCTTCTAGACTCCATTCCCATATAGGACATTACAGAGCACCAAATAGAGTTCCCTGTGCTATACGGTAGGTTCTTATTAGTTATCTTTTATGTATAATAGTGTGTATATGTCAATCTCAGTCTCCCAAATTATCCCCCTCTTCCCCGTTGGTAACCATAAGTGTGTTTTCTATATCTGTGACTCAATTTCTGTTTTGTAAATAGGTTCACTTGTACCATTTTTCTAGATTCCACATATAAGCAATATCATGATATTTGTCTTTCAGAGAAAGTCAACCAGTGATTCTGATTTGCCAGATAAACAAAACCAAACTCAATGCCAGTTTACTTTTCAAAAGAGCATCTTTATTATTTCACTTTGCTGAACACAGCACTGAACGGAAACATCCAATACACGATTGTCAGTCTGGTGGCATTGGCACCATCTCTGCGTAGAACAAGCTGCCGACAGTCAATTGTCAGCAGAGTGCAAGTGAATGGGGAAGGGAAGGTCTGTGAAAAGGTGTCTTGGGACCTCTTGGAGCACACAGTCCCAGACACAGTGGGACACTGAAATTAAATTACAAAAATATGAATATTATATATAAATAAGTTGCAATCTAAGTTAGGAGCGAGTCCCGGAGTGTTGCTGTTTGGAAACAAGCAGCACACAGGAGAGGTAGCTGTGGAGGTGACAGGGGTATTTCCAAGGCTCAGACCCCTGCTGCCCAGTCGGGCCACTGAGGTCACTGGGTTCCTCAAAACTTCCAGGCCACTCAGGCATTCAGCTCCAGGTCAGTGATGTATTCCTGGACCCAGTCGTCACTGGGGTTGGCACAGAGCTGCCGGCCTCTTTTGGTTTGGAAGCTTTGGAGAAGGACAAAAGAATTACACACTGAGGAATCCAGCAGGGGGATCCTGGGCTCCCTGTGGCCCCTCCACCCCTCTCTCCTGGGAGGCCCAGGGCCTGCCACTCCCTCGGGGACCCTCTGCCTACCTCAGTCCAGAGAGACGCTCTCCCTGACTCAGGGGGCCCCTCAGAGGATGCAGCCTCCTTCTTCCCCTCCCTCCCTCTGGGCTGGCCTAGCACCCCCTGACTCTGCAAGCCTGGCCAGGTCAGGTCACAGCTCAGAGACCTGGGTCCTGTATACTTGATAGGCCCCGGCGGGCTGGGCTTGCCAGGATGGCACCCCTGGCCTGTCTGTGCCCTTGAGTGCTGACTCCCATCCAACATCCCATCTCCCCAGAGGTGGGCGGGAAGACTGGCACTTACATGACACCGGGCTTGGAGCACTGGCTGCTGGTCTCAAAATAGTCAGCTACGAATTCGTGAGGAAGCTGCCAGGCATTATAGGAGAAGCAGCAGGCCGTTAGGGTGTCAGCCTCAACTGTGGAGGAAGGGACAGAATGAGGCTGAGTCATAGTTCAGAACAGGATGAGGAAGACTCGGAAGGAGAGAGACAGCCTGGCTTAGGGCACAGACTGGGAGACAGGTCACTGGAAGGCTCTGGGCATTTTTCCCTAGAAATATCCCTGTCTCTGTCCTTGTTTCTGTCTGCGTCCTTCTTTATTTTTGACTCTTCACTGTGGGCTCTCTTTCTCTGTGTGCTCCAGACATCCAAACAGACTGTTCTTATCACATCTCCCTTCAGGAAATTGTTTCTGGTTCAAGAAGTCACACCCCAGCAAAAGAAAAACCTTGGACAGCTCTCATGAGACATCCAAGGGACAAACTCTTGGGACTTAGCGTGAGTTACTGGAAGACTGACACCATGGGGCGGTAACCAAATTTGGACTCTGCCTCTTGCCAACTCTTTTGTTTAGGTCCCCATTTTACCATCTGTAAAATGGGACTGTAACTCCCCAACCCTGGCTCCAGATCTGAGGACCCCTTTATAAAGATAAAAATTAAAATCTTGAAGAGAAAGGCCAAAATGTTTCATAACCCTTTAAGAAGATCTTTATTTTCTCTTGGGGGCTCTCAAGGCCAAGTAAAGTTTGGTGTGGGGACCCCTGCAACTACTGCACAGACTCACATGGTGCCGAGAAGACCTGGCTGCAGAGGGCCATGGGGCAGAGGAGGACGGCGAGGGCAGCAGCGGGCACCTTCATGATGCTGAGTAGACAGAGTGTGGCCTTGAGTGTGGGACTGGGTGCTCGCTGCTGCCTGCGTCCTTCTTTAGTGAGAGGCCATCTCCCCAGCTCTTTATAGGCAGCCCTGATGGGTGGGGAAATGGAATCTGGGAGTGAGGAAGGAAATTTTTAAGCATCGTGATGCTTTCACACTGTTTCATAACTCAGGGTCCGTGGCAACCACAGGGGCTCAGGATATCCAAGAATAGCAGCTGTCAGCTACGAGTCTCAGCCCGCAACGCATGGCTTGTTCTGGTTTCATGTGAGGAAATGGTTTCCCCTGTGAGCAGCGGCAGAGGGGTGTGTGCCCATCCAGGGCTATTCTCAGCCGGTCCGTTCCCCTCACGACTTCTCCAGCTCTGACCTTTCCACAGAGCTGAAACTGCTGCGTTTCCCCAGCTGCTCTAACCACAAGGATAGGGCAGGTGTGATACCGCCCTGGAGGGTGGCACAAGCTTCCCTTGGATGCAAGGGACTTAATCAAGGAATCCACGCTAGGGGACTAGGAAGCATGAGGTCACGTTTCCGTCATGCGTCCAGTCATCAGTCACCGAGTAACCAGGGGCACTGGGTTAAACGCTAGTTGAAAATCATGAAGAGGCATTAGATGCGGGTGTTAATGTGTCAGAAGCCTAAAAATATTTATACCCACTAACCTAGAGATCGCATTTCTAGGAAAGAGTTCTAAAGAAACAGGCCCAAATATGGAGGCATCTTCAGGCAGGAAGGTGCTGGCCCAGCAACATTTATAACTCTAAATAAGGAAACCTAAATCTTCCTCTATCAGGGAATGATAAACTCAGTTATGATATATCCACTGGAATGTTTGTTATTAAGCCCTTAAACTAAATGAAGTAGCATAAATATAATCATAACATCAGTTGTCAAAAAGTAAGATAAAAATTATACCAACTGTATAAGATGAAGAATTATACAAATATATATGTGTATATGTGTATATACACATATACGATGAATATCGTAACCATAAATTGTGTGTGTGTATACACACACACAGAGATATGGTCTAGGCATGGAAGAAATAAAAAGCATTGGAAATAAATGCCCAAAGCGTCATTAGTACTTAACGCTGTGTGACAGATGAATGGGCGATTTTGTTTTCCTTTTTGTCTGGAATTTTCTCTCTCTTTTTTTTTTTTTTTGGAGTAAGAATGGATTACCTTCCTGGTGAGCCCACAGATTTGTGAACACACTCTGTCTTGAAACATTTCCAGCGCCACCAGTTGGAAGGTAGGCTGTTGGCAGATGTTTAACTTGAAAGAACGTTTGGATAAATATGCTAAGGTTTCTTTCGAACGGCCTTTGCTCAGATGAAGTCTTGATTTCCATTTCTCCGAACTATTCTGAGGAACCTGTAAGATATTTACATAAGTAATTTACATAAGTGTTCCTTTCCTATTCTTTTCAACTCATAATTTCAGGGGTGTGAAAGAGCCTACTTTCTTAGCCAGATGTATATATCTTCTTTTCCATCCTTTATTATTACAGAATTAGTGGGCATAAATCACATTTTACATTGAGAAATAGATTTAGTTCTTTCTAGTGATCTTTTAAAAGATGTTATTGAGGTATAGTTGATTTACAATATTGTGTTAATTTCTGCTGTACAGCAAAGTGATTCGGTTATACACACATATACATCTATATATTCTTTTGAATTATGATTTATCCTTTCTAATGATCTTTATCCTCTAGGTGCCCCCAGTCTAGTAGGAGCAGGTAGAGTATAAACAGGTAACCACAGCACTTAACAGAAACTGCTAAGATTCTCAGGAGGAAAATAAATGAAAGCTCAGAATGTGAGGAAGAGGGAGTCCTGGTCTCCCTTGGGAGGATAGGGAAAGGCGTCACGGAAGGGATGGAATTTTGATTGGGTCTTGAAAGACACAGGATTTGAACATATATAGATGGTGTGGCAGTAGATGGCTTGGCCTGCTAATGCAGAGTCACAGGTGTGAAATTGCTGGGTCAGAGGGAGGAGTGAGTCCTTCAGAGTAGCTGCACAGTGGAGGGGCAAATATGGATGAAGAAGCTGCGTTAGGACCAAACCAAGAGGGCTTTGAATTCCCCCAAAAGGAGTTAGAACAATGGAGGAGATAAGACGTGAGCAAAGTGAGACCACACCTGAGGAATTCTGTCCTTCCTGTGTCCGTAGAGTTACTTCTCTTAAAACACATGGGCTGTGTTTCCATCCCATCCCTATGATTGCTAATGCTGGTCCGAGGGAGGTGCAGCAAAGGCAAGATTTGGGGCAATGGCAGGTTTCACTGGGGCTGTAGCATCCAGCTGTCTTCCTTTGTTACTGTCACTTCCAGAAAATGGAGTCTATCATTTGCTTCACTGGAAACTCCAGGTCACAGACAATGCCTCCTCCTCACGTCCACCCCCTCTGCCCCAGCCCTCAGTCGATACCCTGAATTGAATTCCCTCATTTACTTCTTGGGGGAACCCCCTTCACACTCGTGATTTAGTTTCTGAGAGCAGGCGTCTCTGAGTTGAGGAGGTTGAGAAGAAGGAAATGGAAACTGCTGAATCAATCACATTTCTGATAACGGACTTTATTATTTAGCTCTGCCATTACAGCACTTTCCACATTGTGTGATAGTTATCTTTGTAATTGTCTCTTCAAAAATCTAGACCTGTTGATTTTATTTATTTTTAGATTATTATTGGAGTATAGTGGATTTACAATGTTGTGTTAGTTTCTGGTGTACAGCAAAGAGATTCAGTTATATATATTCTTTCATATTCTTTTCTGTTAAGGTTTATTCCAAGATATTGGAATATAGTTCCCTGTGCTATAAGTAGGTCCTTGTTATTTTATATATAGTAGTTTGTATCTACTAATCCCAAACTCCTTAATTTATCCCTTCCACAACCCTGCCCCTGCCTTTCCCCTTTGGTAACCATAAGTTTGTTTTCTATGTCTGTGAGTCTGTTTCTGTTTTATAAATAAGTTCATTTGTATCATAGTTTAGATTCCACATATAAGTGATATCATACGATATTTGTCTTTCTCTGACTTACTTAGCATGGTAATCTCTAGGTCCATCCATGTTGCAGCAAATGGCATTTTTTCATTCTTTATGGCTGAGTAGTATTCCATCGTGCGTGTGTGTGTGTGTGTGTGTGTGTGTGTGTGTGTGTGTGTGTGTGTTTGTGTGTCTGTATACCACATCTTCTTTATTCATTCATCTGTCAATAGACATTTAGGTTGCTTCCACGTCTTAGCTATTGAAAATAGTTCTGCTGTGAACATTGGGGTGCTTATTTCTTTTTGAATTAGAGTTTTCATCTTTTCTGGATACATGCCCAGGAGTGGGATTTCTGGATCATATGGTAACTCTATTTTTTGTTATTTAAGGAACCTCCATACTGTTTTCCATAGTGGTTGTACAAATTTGTATTCCCACCAACAGTGTAGGAGGGTTCCCTTTTCTCCACACCCTCTCCAGCATTTATTATTTGTAGACATTTTAATGATGGCTATTTTGACCGGTGTGAGGTGATACCTCATTGTACTTTTGATTTGCATTTCTCTAATAATTAGTGATGTTGAGCATCTTTTCATGTGCCTATTGAATGTCCTGTTGATTTTAAACCAAATTCATACCATGTCTTGGTGGACTTAAACCAAATTCTAGCACATGTTGATTATAACATGGTTAATTTTCTGACATAGTCTCTATGTCTTATCATTTTATTCTTTTTGATAAATATAAAATTCTATCTTAGTGATTATATATTTGTAAGATTTTTCATATCAGTCCTAAAACCAGGAAATAGCTCTTTGTCATATATGTTTTTATTTGAATCAGGAAAATAACATACTTGTATGCAAAGTATGTGCTCCATATGCACATATTTAATGAATAATGTAAGGAAACCTTAGGATGGATGAGTTGGAAGGGTCTCAGAAATATCCAAGGAGGTAAATTAATGTTCCCAGGTAAAATGACTTGCCCAGGATCAGAGAGATGGAATTAGTCAGTTTTACATTTCAGTGTCTACATTATTTAACAATGTATCTCCAACAGTAATCGCAATGCATTAATAAGTATTTGGTGAATGAATGGTTCATTGATTTGACGAACAGTATGTATTATGCCCAACGTCTCACTAGGGAGTTGAAATACTAATATTATATAAAGGATCAGAAAGGCCATGGTGTCAAGGTCTTGATCTTTGGGGACCACCAAGATCTCTTAAGTGGTGATCACAGAAACTGGCCAATGGTCAACATGGTGGATCCTTCAGCATGGAGGGCCTTGATTTGTGTCCTAGCTTTCTGGTTCATTGCAGCCTCTTTGAGGCCCCACCTCAGTCCAGCAGAACATCCCAGCCACGAGAACAGGGAATTCTGGCTGAATAATTCAGGTTCTGCAACACCTCTGCCTAGTCCGGCTCTGCTCACCTCCTCATTGTTTCCTGTGTCCTGGCCCTGATGGATTGGTTTCGTTCCAGTTTCCGGTCCCAGAGCTCTACGTCCCCAGGCGTCAATCTCAGCTCTCTCCCTTTGGCAGCAGTGGTTCCATGGATGGGCTCCTTGATAATGACACCCTTTTTTGGCCCGGCCTTGGCCTCCTTTTTTCCAGCTGTGGTCCACAGAGTCAGGCTGCAGCAGGCTTGGCCCTGCCTTTCATGTGGGCAGAGAAAATATCCTGGGGGCCCAGTTCTAGCATCCTAGAGAGACAGTGTCTCACTGACGCAGCCCCTTCTTTCTGCAGCCAGGCCCTTTCCTATCTTGAGTTCTTCTTGTCATTCTCCTCTGGCCATTTTGTGTGTGTGTGTGTGTGCGTGAGCGTGCATGTGCACGTGCACGCAGATCAGGGCGTACATCTTGGTACTGGATTACATCCTTCCACCTGTCGCCCTGCTCCTCCTTCTGTGACTCAGTAAAAAGCATTCCCTGTTACCAGGTTTCCAAGCCAGAAAGCTGGGAGTCACCCTTGACTCCTCCCTCCCCCTCATCTCCTCCATCTATTCAACTACTGACTCTGTTGTATA